CCCCCCCCCCGCCGCACCCCCCGCCTGGGCAGGCCACGGGGGCGCCGCCAGGCTGCGCAGCGCCTCCCAGACGCTCTCGTTGTGCGGCACCAGGCGCAGCTGGGCGGCCGCAAAGGCCACCTCTCGGTCGTACGCCTCGCGGGGGGCCCCCACCGCCGCCGCCGGCGCGCCTCGCAGCACAAAGATGCGCTGGTTCCAGGCTGCGGGGAGGGCGGCGGCGGGAGGGAGGGCAGGAGGCACGGGTCAGGCGCTGCGCTCTCCGGTATGGGGCGGGAGCCATAACAGCATGGACGGGCCCCTGCGCCCCGCACCCCCCACCTGCCCCACCCCCCCACCCCGCCCCCCACCCCGCCGCCCACCCGAGTTGTTGCGCACATCCTGGCGCAGCAGGCGCTCGGTGTAGGCCAGCTCGGCGGCCCACAGTCGCGGCTCGCCCAGATGCTGCAGCACCGCCTGGCGGTGGGCCCAGGCGTGGTAGTTCTTGGCGTCGTGCTCCAGGCAGGCCGCCGAGAAGGCCAGCTCCTGCCGGGGGCGCACACGGCGAGGCGCAGGGCAGGGCAGGGCAGGCGGGGAGGTGAGGTGGGGAGGGCCAAGGCGAGCGGGGCGCACCCAGCTGCTACAGTGGCAGGCCCCTCGGGCGGAGGGGGCTCCACGCCGCGCCTCGGGCAATGGATAGGCGCACGCAGTCGCGGCGCCACGCCGCGCCGCCCGCTCAGTCGCGGCACCACGCACCTCCTCCGCCTGCCCCGGCCCGAGCGCCAGGGCCAGGCGCCGACGGTGGTTCCACAGCTGGTAGTTCTTGGGGTTGGCGGTGGCCACCGACCGCGTGAGCGCCTTCTCCTCCGCCACACGCGCCTGCACGCCGCCCAGGGCCTGGGAGGGGAGGGCAGGGCAGGGCAGGGCGGGGCACCGCAGGGCAGGCATCGACTCCCGGCTCCCGGGCAGGGACCCGCCGATGCTGCCAGCGCTGCTGCCAGCCCAGCCAGCAGCCAGCCGCCAGCCCAGCCAGCAGCCAGCCGCAACGTCTCAGGAGCGCGTCCAGGGGCGCGGCGTCGGCACGGCGGGGCGGGGCCTCACCTGCACGCAGCGCCAGCGCCACTCCCACACGCTGTAGTTGGAGGAGTTGAGGTCGGCGATGATCTCGCCCGTCAGAGCCAGCACGCGCTCGCTGCGTGGAGGGGCACACGCGTGCGGCAGGGCGGGCGGCAGGGTGGGTCGCTGGAAGGGTCGCTGGATGGGTTGCCGGATGGGAATGATGAGGCACCAGGGGCAGGCCGGGCCGGGACAGGACGGCAGCGGCTGTGCCGCGGCGCTCGCTCCCCGCCTTGCGACAGTCCCTGGCCCCTCGTCGCGGGTCCTGGTGGCGCATGATGCTGCCACCCACCCCACCTGAGCTCCTGCCGCGCCACCGCCGCCCAGAAGTAGTCCATCAGCTCCGCCAGCAGCTCATCCCTCCCAATCTCCACCACCGGCTGCGGGGTGCGCGGCAGCGCCCGCGGCTGCACATCCGCCCACTCCCGCCGCTCGCCGATGGGCTGGAAGTCCTGGCTGGTGTCCGCCATGCCGGCTGACGCTCCTCAAGAGTGCCGCTGCCTGCTGGCAAGGGAGCCCGCTAGTTGCTGTGTCTGCCGCTGCTGGCCTCGGCAAGCTGTTAGGAGCGAGAAGCTCAGTGGTGGCTGTAGCGTGGCGCCTCGTACATCCAGCTGCACGCAGAGGATGGTCGGGCAGCAGGCTTGAGGCGGGCTGGAAGGCGGCGCACCGAGAGGAGGCACCTGGGCGCCGCCCACTGGCGCAGCAGGACAGCACACTTGCTCACTTGTCAGATTCCAGGTCGGACAGCTTGGAGCGCAGGTTGGTCAGGGTAGCCTCCAGCACAGCTGCAGGCAGGCCAAAATCAGGGAAGCGTGGCGGGTGGGCTCGCCGACCGGCAGACGCCAGCGGCAGCAGCGGCGAAAGGCACAGGCTCGCAGGCTGCGCACCTTTCTGAGCGTTGTACCTCGCTAGGTCCGCCTCGGCGGCCTTCTGCAGGTTGCCTGCAGATCAAACAGAGCTGGGACAAGGTGATCCACCTGGCTGGCTGGCGATCGCCCCGGAAGGCCTTGTGCCGCCTAGCAGTCGCTTGCCTGTGACTGCGCCGACTTGCTGCTGCGCTTGCCGGCGTGCGTGACCGGTCTGCTGGGGGTTGGGCATCTCCTGCGCCTCCTGGCACCCACAGATGATCAGGAGTGGCCCTGGAGACGTGAAAATGGCCCAGATGCTCGATCGACACGCTAGTCTGGCCGCTGGCCACAAAAGAAAAAACGGGCGCGCAGACCAGTGGAGCTCAGGCAATGCCGGCTCTTCTATATACTGCTCTGCATGAATTGTTCGCTGCACACGTCTAACAATCGTTTGGGAAGCCAACAGCACCTCTAGCAGTGCATGCAGCTCAGCTGACGGCTGAACCAGTGGCGGCCGGGGCTGGCGCGCAGGGCGGCGCCCGCTCTGAAACCAGCACCCTGCATTGAAGCAGCTGCTGGGCAGCCATGTCTGTCTCGGGAGCCGACCTGCTCAGTCTGCAGGTGCGGTGCGGGGCATGCTGGAATAGGAGACAAGGGCGGCTCTGTATGTGTGGGGAAGCTTAGCCGAAGCGCGGATGGCTGCATATGGCCTCACCCCCCAACCAGTGGCCGCCGCCGCCGCCGCCGCCGCCGCCGCCGCCGCCGCCGCTGCCTGGAACACCCAACGCGCAGCCTTGCGACGCCCTGGCTCCGCCCATGGCCGCCGCTGCACGCAGGGCAACATCAAGCGCGACCCCGCCAGCTACTCGGATGAGTTCCAGCTGCAGTGGCGCCACTACAAGGCCTGCCTCGCGCTCTTCCTGCTCAAGCCCGACCAGGAGGGCCGCGAGTTTGGGGACCTCATCAACTTCATCGCCCAGGTCCGCCCTGCCCTTTGGTGTTGCGCGGCTGTGCAGCAGGGGGCGGAGGAGCGCAGGTTGCGCGTGCGTGTGTGGCGCGATCCGGGGCTGGCGCGCACACGCAGCGGAGCGTCTCAGGGCGAGAAGCCGGCGGCATGCCTGCGGCCAGGCCTTGACGCAGCAGCTGCCTGCCCTGCCCCTGCCTGCGCCCCTGCAGGTGTCCAATAGCTACCCCAAGGAGACCGCCGGCTTTGCGGGCGAGCTGATGGAGCTGGTGGACACGCACCAGGCGGTGCTGGAGCCGGCGCTGCGCCAGGTGGGCGCCGCCGCCTGCCCCGCCCGCTGCCGCATGCTCCTCCAGCCGGGTCGCGCCTGGCGCGCTGAGGCCTGCTGCAGCCCTCCCCGGCCCCTGCCTGGTGCACTGACACCCTGCCCTGCCCCACCCTCCCTCCCCCCTGCCCGCAGACGCTGGTCCGGGCGCTGATCCTGCTGCGCAACCGGCAGCAGCTGGCGCCCACGGTGCTGCTGCCGCTGCTCTTCCGCCTGTTCCGGGTGCAGGACAAGGCGCTGCGCCAGCTGGTCTTCCGCCACGTCACCGCCGACATCAAAAACAGCAACCGGCGGCAGCGCAACGACCGCCTCAACCGCGCGGTGCAGAACTTCATGTATGCCGTGATCCAGGATGAGCACGAGGGGGCGGCCAAGAAGGGGCTGGCGGTGGCGACGGAGATGTGGCGGCGCCACGTGTGGCGCGACGCGCGCACCGTCAACGTCATCGCCGCCGCCGCGCTGCACAAGAGCCCCCGCATCATGCTGGCCGCCCTCAAGTTCTTTCTGGGACAGGATGCGGCGGAGGCCGCGGCAGACGGTGCGCGGCGCAGCGTGTGTGGGGGGGGGCACAGCCGGCGTCTTGTGCTTGGGTGGGGCACGAACCCCATGAGGTTGTCCGTATCAGCAAGGCTGGCACAGAGGCCTGGAGCAGGCCGCCTGCCTGCTTGGAGCTGAGGCCGTGCCTGCCGGCCTCCCCACCCGCCCGCCCCGCCCCCCGCGTGCAGGCAGCGACAGCGAGGACGACGACAAGACGCCGGCGGCGGGCCCCTCCCGTGAGGACGTGTACTCTGCCTTCCACAAGGGCACCCTCTCCAGCAAGAAGAGGAAGCAGGCACGGGCAACGGCCGGGGAGGGGGCGTCGGGCGGGGTGCCTCGTCTGGCGGGGTGGATGTTGTGGAGCCAGCAATGCCTGGCTGTGGCTGGCGGCCGCTGTTCTGGGTCCGGGCCGGGCCTGGTGCTGGCGGGGGTGGGGTGAGGCTGTGCATGCGCGGGTGTGCATGCCTGGCGCCGCAGCAGGCGGCTCCAGCGCCTGGGCAGCCGCCTCACTGCCGCGCCGCCTGGCTGCCTGCCGCGCCCGCAGAAGAAGCTGAAGCGCGCGCAGGCATCGGTGAAGCGGCAGCAGAAGCGCGAGGACGGGTCGCGGCAGGAGAACTTTGCGGCGCTGCAGCTGCTTCATGACCCGCAGGTGGGGCGGGGTGGGGCCCTGGGGCTGGGCTGGGGTGCCACTGGGCTGGGGTGCTGCTGGCAGCGTGCCCGCCCGCCTCCCCGCTGCCGTGAGTCGGCGACGGCACGGCCTGTGCCCAGGCTCGGCCCGTTGCTTCCCACCATCCCAGGCATGCACTGCTCGCTCGCCTCCATGGCTCACCCCACCCCACACCGCCCCACCCCCCTGCCGCAGGGCTTTGCCGAGAAGCTGTTCAAGCGGCTGCAGAAGGGGCACGAGCGGTTTGAGGCGCGCATGGCGGTGCTCAACGTCGTGTCGCGCTGCGTGGGCGTGCACAAGCTGCTGCTCCTCAACTTCTACCCCTTCTTGCAGGTGCCCAGCCACAGCCTGGGGGTGGGGGTGGGACATGGATGTGGGGTGGCAGGGCCGGGACCCGGGGCCGTGTGTGGCGGGCTGTGTGTTGTCGATGCGCTGCTGCTTCGCGTTTGAGAAGTTTGTCGACAGCTGTGCCCAGCCCCTTCACCCAACCCTGCACACCACCCTCGCACCTGCCCACATACACCCCCACCCCGCCTGCCGCCTGCCGCAGAAGTACATTGCGCCCAGCCAGCGCGATGTCACCGTCATCCTGGCGGCGCTGGTGCAGGTGGGGCGCGCCGCCTCCGCCTCGCCTCCTGCCACGCCCCTGTGGGGGCTCCCGCCTGGTGCATGCCGCTTGATCAGCGCACGCACGCTGTCCACACACACACGCACACGCACACACGCATGCGCGCGCACACACACACACACACACACACACGCGCGCGCGCACGCACACAAATAACAAAACACCACCGCCACGCCGCCGCGCAGGCCTGCCACGAGCTGGTGCCGCCCGAGGCGCTGGCCCCCGTGCTGCGCCAGCTGGTGGACCAGTTTGTGCATGACAGGTGGGGGCTGGGGCGGGGCGGGGCGGGCTGCTCGCTGCCAGACCATGACCCAGCCTGGCCACGAGCCGCCGCCGCCGCCGCCGCCGCCGCCGCCGCCATCACCGTGCTTGCCCTGCCTGCCTGCCTGACCTGCTCGTCCGCCTGCTTCCCTGCCCGCCTGGCTGCAGGGCGCGGCCCGAGGTGATGACCATCGGGCTGCGGACGGTGCGCGAGATCTGCGTGCGCTGCCCGCTGGTCATGTCGCCCGAGCTGCTGCTGGACCTGACCGCCTACAAGAAGTTCCGGGAGAAGGCGGTGTCGTCGGCGGCGCGCGGCCTCATCTCCCTGTTCAGGTGGGTGTGAGGGTGGGTGTGGGTGTGGGTGTGGGGCTGGGGGTGGGTGGTGACCTGGTTTTGCGCGCGTGGGTGTGGGCATCTGGATTGGCGGCGCCGGTTGCGGGGAAGGCTGCTGGCCGCAGCCCTCCCCGCTGCGGCCTCCCGCTCGCGGCTGCCGCCGGGCCGACGGTGCCTGCCTGGGTGACCTGCCCCGCAGGGAGCTGGCGCCAGGCATGCTGGAGAAGCGGGACCGCGGGCGCGGCGCTGACGTGGCGGCGCAGCCCAGGCAGTACGGCGCGACGCAGGTGCGCGGCTGCTCTGAGGGGCGCTTTGGGGAGCGCAGCCTGGGTGCATGCTGCCGAGCAGCGTACGGCGCGCCTGGGGCTGCTGCTGCACCTGCTGCCGAGGCCTGCTTGGGACGCGGGGCACGTGCGTCGTCTCGCCTGCCGACCCGCCGCTGCTGCCGCCGCCGCCGTCGCCGCCGCCTGCCGCCTGGCTGCAGATTGCGACGCGGGTGGAGGGCGCGGAGATGCTGGAGCAGGCTCTGAGGGAGGGGCGCTTCAACTCTGAGGGGGAGCTGATGAGCGAGGGAGAGGAGGAGGAGGAGGAGGAGGAGGAGGAGGAGGAGGAGGAGGAGGAGGAGGAGGAGGAGGAAGTGGTACTGAATGGCGGCCTCAGCGCTGGGGAGGAGGAGGAGGAGGAGGAAGAGGCGGAGGAGGGCAGCGGCAGCGAGGGGTGGAGCTCGGATGATGAGGCGGGCGGCGGCAGCAGCGAGGATGGCGATGAGGAGCTGCAGTTGGAAGCTGGGGAGGAGTCAGGTGGCGAGGAGGAAGGCAGCGAGGAAGGCAGCGAGGAGGAGGAGGATAGCGGCGACGAGCGGGAGCGGCGGAGAAAGCGGCCCGCGGTGGCAGCCAAGCAGCAGCAGCAGGCGCCGCCGCGCAAGGCGCCGCAGGCGGGCAGCATTGCGCAGCTCAAGCGCCAGCTGACGGCGGCCAAGGCGGGCGGCGGGCAAGGGCAGGAGCAGGACGGGGCGGCGGCGGCCGCGGGCGGCGGCGAGGCTGTTCCGCTGGAGTGGGGGCGCATCCTGACTGAGGCCGACTTTGACAAGATCAGGCAGCTGAAGCACCGCAAGATGGTGGACGCAGCCATGCAGGTGGGGCGCACTGGCTGTTGGTGGTTGGAATGCAGGCTGTGGTGGGATAGCGATGCTGTGGTGCTCCCGCGGGGCCCTACGCCCTTGGCGCTGCTGGATGCCTGGCCGGCGCCTGGCTGCTCCTCCCGGACTGATCTTCCCCTGCCCCGCTGAGGTGCTGCGCCTCCCCGCCCTGCCCTGCCCCGCCGCAGAAGCACGGCCTGAAGAGTGCCAGCAAGCAGCAGCGGGCGCGTGCGGCGGCGGAGGAGGAGGCGGATGAGATGATGGAGCTCAAGGGGCGGCTGGCGGTGGCAAACGAGGAGGTGGGTGGCTGGCGGCTGGGTGGCCCCGGGCGTGTGGTGTTTGGATGGGGAGGGCAGGCACCGCGTGGGGGAGGCCGGGTAGGTTGGCGGGAGGCTGCTCCTGTGGCGCTGCCCCTGTGCGGCGCTGCTGGGCTGCGGGCTGGAGCTGGGCCACCAGCGCCCTGCCCCGAGTCGGGACCCACACTTCTGCCGCACCCTGCCTGCATGTCTGGCTGCCTCCCGCCCGACCCACCCATCATGCCTGCCTTCCTGCCTGCCTGCAGCGCCTCAACCCCAACGACCTGCTGGGGCGGCACAAGTGGCGCAAGGACAAGGAGGAGCGCATGAAGAGCGTGCTGGAGGGTGAGCCTGGGGGACGGCGGGGCTTGGCGGGCGAGGAGTTTCCTCTTGGTCTGCTGGTTTGTGCAGGCATCCCAGTGGTGGCTGTTTTTGATGTACTCTGCGTGAGTGTGTGCAGGGCGCGAGGACCGCGAGTTTGGAGCCAAGTCGAGCCTGAAAAAGAAGAAGACGGGCGGCCTGAGCAACCGCGAGAAGGACAAGCGCAAGCGGCTGCCGTTTGCGGCGCGGTCGGGCCAGGTGCGTCGAGCCGGGGACGCCGCCATGGTGGCGGCGCTGCAAAAGCGAGCAATGCGAGGCTGCAGCAGTGCCCGTCCCACCGCCAACCGTCCTCTGCCTCCGCCTGCCTGGCCCTGCCCCTGCAGGTCAGGAAGCGGCTGGCGAAGAACAAGTCCAAGAGCGCCAAGAATTACAAGGGCCACGTCAAGCAGTAGGGCTGCTCGCGCTCATGGCTCATGCCCAGCGCCGGTCGCATGTCTTTGCGGCGGGGCGGTGGCCTGGCACTATCTTTGGCTCCTCCCGCTCTGCTTGGACTTTAACCTGTGTAACTCGATCGCTAGCCAGCTGCCCCTGTGGCCTAGCAGTGCGGCTGGCCTGCTGATCGCTGGAAGAGCGAGGCTGGTTTGGTGCTCTGTGCCGGCCTGGGACGGAGGGGCACATGTGGCTGTGGGGCAGGAGAGGGCTCAGCCAGAAGAAGAAGCGAAACTCGCACCAGTCGCTGCTCACCGTCATGGCGAGTGACCTTGTGCTGGACTCCCCAGCGGCGGAGTCTTCCCGCTACCAGCTTCATCCGAAGCTATGGATGGCACTCGGCGTCGCCTACATCGTCACAGGCAGGCCACCCTGCGCCGCCGCCCGCCGCCACCCACCGCCGCTCCTCACCTGCTTGTGTCGTGCGGACCTGCAGGCGTCGTTGAGCTGTGCCTGGCGGCCCTCTGGCGCTTCTACCTCGGCATAGCTCTGGGCTTTGGGCTGGCCAAGATGGGGACCAGCCTGTGCGGCATGACGCTCGCCACTCGGCCGCCGCCGCCGCCCTCGCGCGGCTGCTTTGGCGCCATCAAAAACCAGGGGCGCCGCCTGCTCATGTGGGGCGCCAGCCAGCTTCAGTCCCTGTTCTACATGTTCAGATGGTGGGCCCTCGCCGCCTGCTGTTCGTGGCCGCCGCCTGCCGCCGCCTGCCGCTGCCCTGGCACGCCCCAACGCATGAGACGGTCGGGTTGGCGAGCTGCGCTGCTTGATGCTCAGCCCACCCGCCTGCCACCTCACTCTGGTCGGCACATCCCTCCCCTCCCGTGCCTTCCTGCCCCCAGGGTGATCTACCTGTACGGCGTGGTGGTGCTGCTGATGGCGGCCATCCACCTGGGCAGCCCCGACTACCGGTACCGCGACTTCCCAAACGAGTGTCCCCCAGACAAGCAGTGGGGCTGCAGGTGCGTGCAGGGCCTGCTGCCGCCACTGCTGCTGCTGCTGCTGGGGGCCCGACACCTACGGCGCGCAGGGTGGGGGCACACATTTCAGCCATGAGACGGGTTCCATGGTCTGGGCATTGGGCGATCTTGGGACGAGGCGGCTGGCCTGACTCGTGTGGGCCGGCACCTGCCTCCCTGCCCGCCCCGTGCGCCCCCGCCTGCAGCCGCATCGCGGAGAGCAACCCGCACGGCGTGCGCCACCTGCAGCCGCTGCACCTGGCGGCCACGGTGGCCGATGTGCAGTCCTATGCCACCAGCTGGGTGCAGGACCAGGTGGGCGGGCTGCTGTGCAGCCACCACGCCGCACCCAGTAACTCAACCCGAGTGCACCGCTCACGTGTGCTTGATCCCCTCCCCGCCATCCTCTTCTTGCCGCAGGCGCAGGCGCGGCTGTTGGGCGACACGCGGCCCGGCTTCCTGCACGCCCGCATCCTCACCTTCTTCTGGGGCTTCGCCGACGACTTCCTCATCTCCCTGCGGTGAGCTGGGCGCCCGGAGCCTGCCTCGGCTGTCCGCCTTGCATGGCTGCCAACCGCCTGCCTTGGCTGCGCCTTGCGTGGCAGCTCCTGTGGCAGACGTGTTCGGCATGCTGCACCACCCACAGGTGCAACGAGGTGGGGCAGGCGGTGGTGGAGGTGCAGTCACAGCTCCGCATCGGGTACAGCGACCTGGGCGTCAACGGGCGGCGCAACGAGCAGTTCATGCTGCAGCTCAGCCAGGCGGTGCAGCAGGGGCACATACCTCAGGGCACGTGCGTGGACGAGCAGCCGGCGGCGGGGCGATGACACAAGGCCGCCAACATGCTTGGGTCCTCTGCCCCAGGCCAATATATGTGTTGTTTCTTGCCCAGATGTGCCCCTTTTCATGTTTCCCACCCATGTTTGCCCTGTAATCTGCATCAGCAGCCCATGAAGTTTGGTGGAAAGGACGAGAGGAAAGTGGAGTGCATGCATTCATGCTGCCCCAGTGGCCGCCATTGTCGCAGCCGGCATTCGCCAGGGTGCCACCCAGACTCAGCAGGCGCAGCCCACCAGCAGCTGGGCCTGGGAAGCCATGCCGGCCTCCCCTGCTTCCAGCCCCACTTCGTCAGCAGCAGAGCAGGATGAGTGGGAGCCTGGGAGCGAGGAGGAGGAGGAGGGCAGCGAGGCTCCTCGAAGCAGCTGCCCCAGCCAGCAGTCGGAGCAGCATGATAAGGATCCGGAGGAGTCGGCTGCCTTCATGGCCCAGCTGACGAGCTTCTTCCAGAGCCGGAGCAGAACAATGCCAGTGAGCTTGCTGCGGCGGCGGCGGTCCCCGGCGCGACCATGCCGCGAAGCGGCCGCCGCGTCTGTGGCGCATGTGCCCCGGTCCAAGGCTGCCTGATGCATGTTGCCCAAGGCAGACCTGCCTTGAAATACTCTGTTGGTTTAAGGCCAGATGCAGAGCAGGGCATCCAACAACTGCAAGTCCAGATACATTAGCCTGATGCCGCCCCGTCCCTTGCCGCCGCAGGCCCCACGCTTCATGCACCGGGAGCTGGATGTGGCCAAGCTGTGGCGCCTGGTTGATGGGCATGGCGGCTACGACGAGGTGGTTGGGTCCCACACGGCTGCTCTGCCTGACACAAGGGAGCCAGCAGCTGTTGGCAAAGTTTCCAAACCCGCTGGGCGTTTCGAGACGCGCCCGCGCGCCGCCGCCGCTGCCCCGCAGGTGTGCCACAGCAAGCTGTGGGCGCAGGTGGGGCGTCACTTTGACCCGCCCAAGAGCATGACCAACCTCAGGTGCCCCTGGCAGACTGGGGCCAACGCACGGGGGCTGCTGCTGCCGCTGTCGACACATCGCCGCTCATGTGCGCGCCTGACGAAATGGTGATCTCCTCTGCATGCCGCCTACCCACCCCCCGAGGCCCGCCTTGCAGCTACAACATGAAGCGCATGTACACCCGCAGCGGCCTGCTGGCGTATGAGCGCTCGCTGCAGGGCATACCCGAGCCCCTGCCAGAGCCCGGCCCCAGCCGGCCGCTGAACGCGGCTGCGGGCACAAAGCCTCGGGCGAGCAGGAAGCGCCGTTCGAAGCCACCAGAGGCAGACAATGCGCAACCCAAGCGGGCACGCCAGCAGCAGAAACCGCGGGCAGCGAGGCGTCGCAGGCAGGCGCAGGGGGCTGCGGAGGCGCGTAAGGAAGGGCAGCAGCACGAGCACCAGCTGAAGGAGGATGGGCAGCAGCTGGAAAACGATGAGGAGCAGGAGGGAGAGGAGCAGCCACCCCCAGTAGCAGTGGCGGCACCCGGTAGCACTAGCCAGGAGGGCTTGGGGCCTGGGGAGGCCCAAGCCAGCGGCAGGAACAGCGGCAAGGGCAGGAGCGGCAGCAGGGGGTTCAGCCCCTCTAGAGGCACGCAAGCCAGCCCTCAGCAGCCCCCGCCACAGCCTGTGCTACCGGGCCAGGCAGCATCCCCAGCAGCAGCATCGCGGGCCAGCAGCGGCAACGCGGGCCGCCCGTCCCGTACATCGCCGTCGCCCCAGGAGGCCGCCAGCGGCGGCATGCAGCTGCCCGCGCCGCCGGCTGCCGTCGCGCAACGCACGGCACGCCCCGCCCGCGCCAAGCGCGCCCCGGCTCAGGTGGGCAGGACTGGGGTCCAGCCAGCTTCTTCAGTACCAAGCAGCTCCCAACTGCCCCCTTGGAGGGTCATGTGTCCACCCGCTTCTGCACCGCTGTCTTTCTATCTGTCCGGGCTTTCCAACCTGCCACCTGCCGCTGGCGATGCCGGGGGTGTGCCTGCAGTATGGCGACTACAGCCTGCAGCCCCGCACACGTGCCCGGCACGCTGAGGATGCGGGGGTGGCGGCCTGGTCCGGCGGTGAGCCTCTGCTTCCAGCCAGGCCAGGTCGAGCGCGGCTCTCGCCGGGCGGCGTGTGGCAGGGGCCACGGGACGTGCGCTCAACGCCATGCGGCACGGCTGGCGTGCGCCACGCCTGCTGCCGCGTCCATGCCGGCTGCCCTCCCCTCCTTCCCCCATGCAGCCGAGCTGCCCGCCCCTGCCCCTGCCCACCTTCGTGCAGCTGGCGCGTTGGAGCGGGGCGGCGGGGAGCTGGTGGGGCGCAGCGTGCGCCTGTGGGACCCGCTGGCGCAGCGGCACCGGGTGGGGCGTGTGACCGCCTACCACGCGGCCGCGGTGAGCTAGGGATGGGCGGGCGGGCGGGGGCTCGTAGAACGGTCGCTGATTAGGATGCGGTTCCAGTGGGCTGCCCCGGGCCTGCGCATTAGGCTGATCCATGGCTGCCGTCGTGCTGTGCACGCTGCCGACGTGCAGGGCAAGCACGTGGTGCAGTATGAGGGTGGGCGGGAGCAGGTGGCTGACCTGCGAGACCTGCAAGGCACTCCCAGCTGGCAGCTCAGGCAGGGTGAGCGCACGGGTGGGCAGGCAGGCATCAGGTGTGCGTGTGCGTGCCAGTGGTGGCAGTTCAGGTGGCGGCGGGCAAGCAAAGGTAGGTTGCTGGTGGCTAGAGCCCGTTGAGCTGCACCAGCTGGTTGGTGGTTGATGGCCTGGCTTGTGTGATGCCCTAGGGCGCTGCCTGGTGTGCCCCTTGCCTGCAGATGATGCGGAGGACCTGGCGGCGGCGCAGCAGCTCGCGGCGCTGGCGGGCGCGGGCCGACAGGGCAGCACACAGCTGCAGCAGCTGCCACTGCCGGAGCAGAGGGATGCTGCCGGGCAGCAGGAGCAGGGGCAGCAGGAGGTGCTGCATGTGGGGGTGCTGCGCACGCTGAGCGAGGCGGCGGAGGCGGTGCCGGCCTGCACCGCTGCGGGTGCTTTCTTCTCTGACCTGGCGGCAGCCGCCGAGCCCCAGCCGCCGCATGGCAGCCGCCAGGGCCCCGCCCACGCGCGCACCGGTACCGCTCCTGTCACACGAACAGCGGCGGCAGGGGCGGCGGCAGCAGCAGCCGCTGGCGCTGCCGGGCAGGGGCCCGGTGTGGCGATAGACGCCGCCACCAGCATTGTGCTGATGCAGCAGGCGGCAGACCTGGTGCGGGGCATGCACGAGGAGCTGCAGAAGAGCCGGGAGCAGGTGGGCCGTGCAGCAGGGCCAGGCTGCAACTTTACAGCTGCTCACCCGGCTGTGTGTGCCGTCGCTGGCTGACTCACAACCTCACGGCCGACGCGGCCTTACTGGCTGACCTTGCCGCCGCCGCCGCCGCCGCCGCCACGCTTGCATGCCCGTAGCTTCCCCAGCTGGCGGGTGACCTGCAGGTGGCACACGACCGCCAGGCGGCGGCGGAGATGGAGTGTCGCAGCGCACAGGGCGCGGCGCTGGAAGCCCGCAAGGGGCTGCAGCTGCTGCTGGGGCAGGCGCAGGCGCTGATTGGGCAGCGGGCGCCTGCGCCGTCGCCGCCGCCGCCGCCAGCCTGGGCCCCCACGCACTCGCAGCCGCAGGCACAGGGGCCAGCAGAGCTGCTGGCATCACCTCAGGTGCCAGGCATCCCATCCTGGGCGATCCCCCAGGCCTGCCCCGGGCCCCAGCCACCGCAGCCCGAAGCGCCAGAGGGCACTGCTGCCAGGGAGCTGCTGCCTCCTGCGGCTGTTCTCAAGCATGTGCTGCTGCCGCCTGCTGCCCCTTCGCGGCAGCAGCCCGCGGCACAGGCGGCGACGGCGGGTGTGCACAGTCGCAGCCAGCCGCTGTTCCCGCAGCCGCTGTTCCCGCAGCCGCAGCGCCCGCCTCAGCCGCAGCAGGCCCTCCGCCCCTCGGTGGCATTAGCACACTCAGCTTTGCCGCATCTGCCGCCGCCTCCCACCACCGCCAGCAAAGCCTGGCCAGCAGGCATGCCAGCACCGCCAGCACCTTTGTCGCGCCCACCCCTGCTGCCATTGCCCGGCTGCGACTGGAAGCCAACTGCGGCCAGCGCACACCACGTGCCCAGCCTGCCAGCACCCCCTCGTGCTCTGGCAGCGCAGCAGTGGCCTGCTGGTGCCGGGCCAGGGCAGCAGGCGCACGGGAGGCGCGAGACGGTGCAGCAGCCGCGAGTGCAGCAGCAGCTCCAACAGGCGGTGGCGTCCCAACATGCGCAGCTGCCGCCGTACATGCAGGCAGCCGCCGCGGCCGTGCACGCTGCGCTGTCAGCGGCCTCTGCCAGGTGGGGTCCCCGCCGGCGCTGCCGGGACCAGCCAGGTAGCCCAGCCCAGGCGTGTGAAGCAGGTGTTCAGTCAGCACAACAGTCACAGCAGAATCCTCATCCTCCAACTTAGACTGGTCCATGCTAGCAATGCCAATTTCTACTTTCTTAAACCCCGCGCTCACAGCAGTGTTCTGTAAGCCCTTGCGCGGCAGCATCGCTGGTGTTTTGCATTTGGTTTAAATGCCAGCAGGTAGGGCAGTCAACAGGAAGAGCAATGTGCAGCGGGAGGCAGCGTGCAAGATGTGCAGCAGTCAAGGGAGGGGGGGCCTGCAAGGGCGTGCAGGGCGGTGCGGCGGGCAGGCCTGCCCCCTTCAGTCGGCTTCCGACTCGCTGTCCGACACCTCATACTCCACCACTCGGCGGTTGTTGAATTTGGGGATGGGCGGCAGGTCGTCCTCGCTGCTGCTGTACTCGTCCCCCTGCTGCTCCCGGCTGTCTGGGTTGTCTGCCCCCTCCCCTGCCGCGCATCCCGCCGCTGCCTCTCCAACTGCGGCTGCTGAAGGTGCCGCCGCTGCGGGAGCCGCTGCTGCTGTGCCCGCTCCGCCACGGCCGCCTGCCGCTGCGCTGCCCTCTTCCGAGTCGCTCTCCGCGACGCCCAGCGCCGCCAGCTGCTCTGCTGCCTGGCTGGCGGCTGCACGGCTGCTGACCTCAAACTCTGGCGGCCTGCAGCCGAGGAGGGTGAGGGCCAGGCTGGGGGTGTGAGCGGTCTGGTAGACCTCCCGCAGCACGAGCAGCGCAGGTCGGTGGCCAAGGGGGATGCTCAGATGCTGAACTGGAGGCCTCTCCCATGCTGCTCGGGCTGCTGGCTGCTGACACCCACCCACTCACCACACGCCCGGCATGCGCTTCAGCTGCTTCACGTGGTCTGCAAACAGCACCGCCGAGATCTCCCCCGTCACCCGCGTGTCCTCCTCTGCCGCCCCCTCCACGACCAGGTAGTTGCCCTTCTTGACCCACAGCTTCTTGTGGAACTTGGCGGGCAGCAGGCACAGCGCGGTGCGGCCGTCGGGGAACTCCACCTGCGCAGGCGGACGGGGAAGGAGGTGTCGCGGCGGCGGCCAGGCGGCGGCGGCGGCGGCATGTGTGGCCATGCATGTGGCGGCGCCGGGCGGCCAAGTAATTGGCGCTGTGCCAGAGGCTCCCGCACCTCGATGAGGTTGCTCCCGCGGCTGCCCACGGCCCGCACAATGTGCTGCCCCTCCCCCGGCGGCTCCACCTCCTGGTCCATGGACTGTAGCAAGTGTTTTCTCCGGCTCATCAGCGCTTACTGCCGCTTGGCAATGCGTGCTGCGGCGCCGCCGCCGCCGAATGCGTGCAATGTCACTTGAGGGAGGGTGCCCCGAAACACACGCCTGGGTGCTCCAAACAGTCTGGGAGACTCTCGAGAGGGGTGGGCTTCGCGTGCATTGCGTTCCGCGAGCTGGGCCTCATCCAAACCGTTTGAACGGCCAGCTAGGCACCTGTCCTCTGCTGCCTGTCTAATGCAGCTGGCATCGCCCCATCGTCGCCATCTTCTGTCCGGCGCATTGGGCCGCTGTCCGCTTGATTGCTGGGGGTCTGGGCAAGCTCCATCGGGCCAGGCACCAGCAGTTGGGAGCAGGCAGCTGAACACCCATGGCCTCCTGGCTGCAGCAGCAGGCCTCCCAGGCCGCATCGCAGCCCGGCAGGTATGCCATGAGGGCGTCGCAGGACCTGGAGCCGGAGGAGAACAACCGCACGCCCCCCTCAGTGCGCCGCGGCAGCGCGGCGCTGCGGGCCTCTGTGCTTGAAATCCCCTCTGATATGTCGCCCGGCCGGTCGGAGCGGGCCTTTAGGACGGGCAATGAGCGGCTCTACGAGGCCTACAACGACCTGCACGCTCTGGCCCAGGACTTTGAAAAGCCGTTCGATGCGCCTGCCATCCTGGTGGTTGGGCACCAGACGGACGGCAAGTCAGGTGGGTGCCTCGGCAGCCAGGGCCAGGGCAGGGCCCCAGCCATGGGAAGCAGGTCAGCCCAGCTGCCTGCCTGAGTAGCTGCACGGCGAGCCGGCTGGCGGGAGGTCCCGCGGCGCGCTGGGCCGGCGTCGCGCCACGCCAACCGCCGCCGCCGCTCTGAACCCCTGGCCCCGCCGCCCTCCCCCTGCAGCCCTGGTGGAGGCTCTGATGGGCTTCCAGTTCAACCACGTGGGAGGCGGCACCAAGACGCGGCGCCCCATCACCCTGCACATGAAGTACAACAGCGCCTGCGTGCAGCCGCACTGCTACCTCATCACGGACGAGTTTGGGGAGCAGGAGGCGACGCTGGAGGAGCTGCAGGTGGGCTGCGGGGGCGGGGCCAGGCAGGGGGAGTGTACCAGGCACCTGGGGCCTTTGGGCACTGGCGGAGCCTGGCAAGTGCCGGCGTGCATGGGTTGTTGTGAGCCCACACTCAGCTGGCGCTGGCTGTCGGCTCATGGCGCAATGGATGGCAGCACTGCCTGGCTGGCACGGGCGGTGCTCGGCTGCGCCTGCGGCAGCGCTCGGGGCCCCAGAAGATTAGCGCAGCGCCCGACCTGGCTCGGCCCTCGCGCTTCTCCCGCCCGCCAGCCCGGCCCCCACCTCCACCCGCCGCCTGCCTACCTGCCCCGCCCGCCTGCCTGCCGCGCCTGCCCGCCCCGCAGAACTACATTGAGAACGAGAATGCGCGGCTGGACCGTGAGGCTCAGTTCTGGTCCAAGGAGATTGTGGTGCGCATCGAGTACAAGTTCTGCCCCAACCTCACCATCATCGACACGCCCGGTGCGCCGCCCACGCACGCGGCCCGGGATGTGCTGTGGTGACTGCGCACAGCCGCAAAAGCCGCTGGTGCATTGATGGGCACGGGACGCGCCTTGGGCGCAGCTGAAGGTGGAGAGTCATCTGGGGCGTGGCAACGACCTGAGCCTTGGCGCCTTGGCAACCCCTGGCGCCCGGTCTCCACCTGTCGCCGCCCCTTCGCCGCGCCCCTCCACCCACCGCAGGCCTCATCTCTGCGGCCCCCGGCAAGCGCAACAGCACGCTGCAGAACAGCGCTCGGCAGGTGGAGGCCATGGTGCGGCAGAAGATGGAGCAGAAGGAGTACATCATTCTGTGCCTGGAGGACTCCAACGACTGGTCCAACGCAACCACGCGCAGGCTGGTCATGCAGGCGCGCGGCGCGGCGGGGAGGTGGTGGTGGCGGTGGTGATGGTGGTGGCGGCCTGTGTGTGTGGTGAGGCGGGGCTGAGCGTAGCCGGCGGGCCAGCATGCGGCCAGGGGGAGGGCTGGGCAATGCAGACCCACCCGGCGCCGTGGACCTGCCTCCTCCCCTCACGCGCCTGCCGCCCCTGCCTGGCCCGTCCCCCCTGGCCCTCCCCACACAGGTGGACCCCAGTCTGTCCCGCACCGTGGTTGTGTCCACCAAGCTGGACACCCGCATCCCGCAGTTTGCGCGCCCGCACGACGTGGAGATGTACCTGCGCCCGCCCGCACGCCTGCTGGAGCCGACCATGCTGGGGGGCTCCCCCTTCTTCACGTGAGCGGGGTGCTGGGGGAGCGGCGGGTGGTGGTGGAGGGGCAGCAGCATGGGGGGCCGGCGGGGCAGCCCAGCCTGCCCCACGCCCCTGCACAACCCGCGCATCTCTTGTACCGGCCCCTTGCTGCCGCCTGCCATGCCGCCGCCTGCCCTCAGCCACCCCACCACCACCGCCGCCACCCTGTCCCCACCTCCCCTCCCTCCCTCCCACCACGCACGCACACCCCCGCAGCTCCGTTCCGTCTGGGCGCGTGGGCAACAGCAAGGACGCCATCTTCCGCTCCAACGAGCACTTCCGGGGTGCGGTGGCTGACCGCGAGGCGCTGGATGTGGCCGAGCTGGAGTCGCGGCTGGGGCGCAAGCTGGAGAAGGCGGAGCGCGCGCGCATCGGCGTGGGACAGCTGCGCCGCTTCCTGGAGCACCTGCTGCAGCGCAGGTGGGGGCGGGGCTGGGGCTGGGCGGGGGAGACGGCGGCGCGGGGCGGGCAGGGCAGCCAGCACGGCGGGAGGGGCAGGGGGCAGGCGTGTGTGGGCGCACGCTCTGGCGCCCTGGCGTCGGGGCTTGGAGACGGCGACTGCCTGCGCCGTGGGGCAAGCCTCCAAACCTGCCGATCAGCCCATCGCTCAGCCCCTCCGCTGCCCCATCCGTCGGTGCCGCCGCCTCTCTCGCCAGCCGACCCCCACGCCAACCTGTCCCCTCCCCACCCCCACCCCACCCCTCCACCCCCACCCCCCAGGTACCTTGAGAACGTGCCCACCATTGTTCCTGTGCTGGAGAAGGAGTACCGCAACGCCAGCAGGAGGCTGGAGGAGACGCAGGTGGAGCTTAACGACCTGCACCCGGAGAAGCTCAAGGTGGGGGGGTGTTTTGGTGTGTGTGTGTGTGTGATGGGGCATGGTGGGGGCACGCAGCAGGCGGCGCTGGGGCGTGAGTGGGGCAGGCTGGCGGGTGGAGCGGAGCGGAGCGTGGGGTGCAGCAGGCGATTGGGTTGCGCACCCACTCCGCTTGCTGCGCTCGTGCTGCCTTGCTGGCCTCCCCGCTCACCCGCCTCTTCTATTGTGCCGCCACCCCACCCGTGCCGCCCTGCCTGCAGGAGAAGGGGCGCGTGTTCCGCGAGTCATTTTTGTCCAAGCTGGCGCTGCTGCTGCGCGGCACAGTGGCGGCCCCGCCAGAGCGCTTTGGCGAGACGCTTGCGGACGAGCACATCCGGGGCGGCGCGTTTGTGGGGCCCGACAACAAGCCCGTCATGGTGAACGAGCAGCTGCCCAACGCGCACATGCGGCTGTTTGGAGGCGCGCAGTACCACCGTGCCATGGCCGAGTTCAGGGCAGGTGCGGGGTGGCGATGGCGGTGGGCTGCTGTGCCTGGCGCTGGGCTGGTGGGGGACACGCTGGGATGCTGCGTGCTGGGGCGTGCGCCTGGCCGCCGGCGGCCCCGCCCTCAGGCACGCATGCACACCACCCACACAGCCGACACCTGCCTACCCCGGCCCCGCCCCGCCCCGCAGGCATCGGCACCATCAACTGCCCCGACATCTCCCGCGAGGAGATTGTGAATGCGTGCGGTATTGACGACTTCCACGACGGAGTGAACTACACACGCACTGCATGCGTCATCGCGGTGAGCACGCGCTGGGACGCCGCCACAGCTGGCTGGCGCGCTGCAGCCTGCTGCTGGCTGTGAGCTGCACCATGGGAGAGGGGGCGCGCAGGCGGTGGCACAGGTGGTGGCGGGGAGGGGCGCAAGCGGCTAGCGTGCTGGGGTGCCTCCGGCCGCCTGCCTCCCTCCACACCTGCCCCAGCCCAAGCCCAGCACGGCCGCTGACTTCCCTGCTCCTGCCCCTGCTCCGCGCCCCCGCAGGTGTCCAAGGCTCGGGACCTGTTTGAGCCCTTCCTGCACCAGCTGGGCTACCGCCTGGCGCACGTGCAGCGCCGCATGCTGCCCATCGCCATGCACCTGCTGCAGAAGGTGGGCGGGGGGTGGGGTGTG